CAACGTAACGGTCAAAATCGCCTGCATTAACGATAGGTGAGGTAGAGTTGACGTTGGCCGGCTCATGTGTTATTCATCACGACGATTTCTCCGACGTTCACTGTGGCAAATTCGCCGATCCAATCTTTGTTAGTGTTTATCACGGTGACATCCTTTAGATCTGTTCTGGAAGCGGTAGTTAAACTGTATTGGCATCATTGGTGTAAGCGACAATGCCGAAGTCAGAGATTTCGTTTCAGGCTCCTCTACGATCGCTTTCGATATACATCTCTTGAACGATGGCAATGCCAGTCGTGGGTTTTAACGTCTTAGATAGCTATTCGTATTTTGTGTGGGATATACCTCAGACATTCAACTGGTGGAAACGCTGAATGTGCGCCCACGGCTACACGTCTTTGGGTTTTATAAGGAGAGTTGTATCTCCTTGTTCTTCTTTTATTGCCCTCATAAAAACCGTTGCATCTCTTTGCATTTCTCATATGCCCCACAAAAGACTGTTGAGCTTACTTTGTACTAGTTTACATTTTGATCAGTTGCTAGTCAAGCTGAAAAACTGTTTGAGCAACTTGGCCAGATGACGACATTCGTTGTATTATTAAGCTTTGGCACATAATCACAACACGTAACAGGAGCACCATGTCAGGGTTGTTTTTCTCCTTTACCTCCGGTTTCTTTCAATGACCAGCTGATTTTTCTCAACTTGTTGTCATACATTTCTGATACTTAATGTGCGCCCACGTTTATCATGATGACGTGCCAAAAAAAGGTCATAGCGTAAAATCGTGTATGAAATCGAGAATAATACATTAATCAGAATTCTCATTTACAACCACAGTATCGACATTCCTCCCACCACTGGTTTTGGTATGAGACTAGCCAGAGACAAATAGTGAGGTGCTTGAACGCGAATCATGCTTACAGTTTCTAGAGTGAGTTAAGATTATAAAGGACTTTATGTAAGTTTATCAAAAGTGATCAACATCACAGAACATTTTTCGCAAACATCATATCTATGATCGACGATATATTCATTAAAAGCAAAGCCATGTCACAACGGCCACCAATCGGCCATGTTTCAGAGGACCCGTTCCTATCTTTTTCGTTACTTCAACATAGCACTTGTATTTAGAACTTTGTAGAGTAGTGAGCACTGGCAACAGCTATCAACCCAATAAATACTTCTTGCCATAGAACTGTGCCTTTTTCATAAAAACCGGTGACTGAATCCGAGCATCAGGATCGTGGAACGGATTCATTGCAAGCTAAAGAATTGACATCAATGTAATGAAAGTAAAAGGTTTATTTGACAATATAACATACTGGCTAATCGAAGCCGCACTGACATTTTCGCTATTTGCGTTTATAAACCCACCAGTTTGCTGATGAACAGACTGCAGATGATGTTGTTTTGCTCAGAAGCAGCAACGTATGAATAATGTACTCAACATTTAGGCTGACAACACCAAAATTATTCACACCGACTTGAAAAAAGTAAAACAGAATTTTTGTCTTCTATTCATCTTCTACATCAATTGTGGAGTAAGGGACATGCTCCCAAAAGTATCAGTCGTCCGCAAATTGAACATGCTCCAAAGTAGGTGTTCAAGTGCAATACACACTAGTCAATCTGCCACCAAATATTTACCTAGTCAACTAATAAGTCAGTTTTCGAAAAATCCATCTTGCCAATCTAGAACGTTCTGCTTATTCCCTTTGAACATTGTAATCGTACACCCTCGATTTTAAAGAGCAAATCGCAAGAACGGGTTCCATATGGGTCTAATTCTTTTTAAACCTCCTTAGACACTATTCGTTCAGAGACGAATATGAACAATCGCCAATCTTCCTTGAGGAAAGGAGGAAAAATCTCGCAGCACCGTAATGTCACGCTTAGTGCTACCCATTATTTGTGCTTCGACCAACTTTTAACTTTTCTTCTTTTGCGGGGATGTATATCTCATAAAACCACCTATCAGCTGATGAATACGAAACATAATATTTAACAGTTTTATCATATGATGCATAGAGCTAAACCACTGGATGTTTACTCGCTTGACAGTCGAATGCTGTTCTAGTCTTTTAAATAGCCTGCAGTAAGAATGCTGGTTCACTCTGTACGCGTTATCCGCGTGTAATAACCTTTTTCTGTTTTGATGACAACTTTTGACTCACAGTGACTGATAAAAGATATCCAAATGATAGTCACATGTCGAATACAAATAAACCTGAAAAAAGATTAGGATATCTACCAGACTCGAAATTAAAATGAAAGTATTAAAACCACTTGAATCGTAAATGGGTCATACTTTCATGGCTAGTTATCTATATCAGGCATAAGAACAATCATAGAGAATTCTGAAAAAAATTAGAACGTTTACTACTGCTGCATTAACTGCAACGAAACTAATATTTACGAGAAATGGTGTTGAAAAAATGAAAAGCTCACAAACATATGGATTGAAGAACCGAACCATATATCTCCGAGCCGATTAATTATTATAAGAGAGTCATAGAATATGTTTAGAAACAAGGAAAAAAAGTTAACAACGAAATATTTGGAGCCAGTTATGGCTGGAAATGAGACACTCATCCTGAACTTGTTTTGAATGTGGATAAAAGCAGTCCTAAGTGGAAGAGAATTCCATTATATTCTTTAATATTCAGAGATGAAAACCACGCGCCGTTAAAGATATCAATCCCTGAACCGCCGTAATGCTGGGAGGGAATAATTGGAAAAATTTAAAGCTTAAATCTACGCTTATCTAATAACCACAAACACCTCGAGCAATGATCGGGCATTCTAAAGTGCACCTATCCGTCTACTGAAGATCAAATCCAAATGCGCCAAGTCGAATCTAAGAAAAAGCGACAAGTCAGTAGAAACATTTATGATTAGGAGAAGTATCAGGACCAAACTACCGGCAGCACCTGCAGAAAAACCAAGCCTGGCACAATAATTGGCTTGCACTGATATCATACGTTAAGCACTGCAGAGAGCAAAGTTTGTTCATTTCATTTAGGGGGGGCACCATGCGGTTATTATTGCCCTGGATAGTCAACTATCAGACAGGTCAATGAAATTGGTACTTAATATGAATCAAAAGGAAAATCTGTTGTCAGAAACGAAACTCTAGCTACAAACTAGAAATTGAACGAGGCACGCATACATTTTTTAAAAGCAAGCACGACCACCTAAATGTGCTTGCCACTGGAGAGTGGACATTCGGTTTCAACTCGATTATCACAAGGAGCTATTCAGAGCGATAAGCGCAAAAGCAGTGAAATACGTAATTTTGCTGGTTCCAAACAGTACACTGTTGGCCGGTAGGCGCACAGTGTTCGAAAATTATGCAACACGATTTACTGACCTTAACATATGTTTCGTACATTTCGGTGAAAAAATTTTTTATCCCATCCTCGTTTTTGCATGTGTGCAGCATGAGGAAACGTATGTCTAAAAACAGCAACAAAAATATTGAAATATTTCGATGCCGAGAAATGATCTTACTTCCAGCAGTGACGAACGATGAAACTGACCACTCATTGAACTTGTCAACGGTTTTCAAGTACATATTCTGATTCTGAATGATGTGTTCATCAACAAGATCAAGGGCCGCATGGGCGACGAACTGCTTTAAGTGACTGTTCTCTAAATCCTACGAACGTACGAGTCAAAACACAAAATACGATGCAGATATTACAGCGAGTATAAGAAAACATTGCAACAGATTAATTTATATGTCAATGACTAAAAGTGACACGTTCGCACCGATTAAACAAAATAACTGATCTACAGAGACAAGCAGCTAAACCAAGGCCAATGAAGTCTGTTCCACAGATTCTGCACTGCTACACACTCTTTCGAATCAGAGACATACACCCACAAGGTAAAATAATCTTGCATCGTATGCATGCATAACTAAACATCTGTAATTTCTGCAACCTATTCATGCAAAGCATTTTTACTGAGTATGACAGAATGCTCTAAAATAAGTTATTCCGTTTGGAAAGGAGGAAAAATAGAGTCCTCGAGATTTGAACCTGGCATGAGATCCTGTAATTTTGTTGTTGCTCGCTCTCGACAGCATGTGAGCCAGAGGCCGGCTACCTTGAACCAATCTTTCATTAGGTCTTAAAGGAATACAATAAAAGAGGCTTTTCATTCTTCGTACTAATCACGCTTGAAACCCCAGAAGGCCGCAGCTGTAGCTTCTGAAACAAATTCGCAGGCCTTCAATACTCTTTATTTACCGTTTACACCGTGTGCTGATTTTCAGTCAGCTGTAAAGTGGTTCGAGGCGAATTGCCATCGTAAAGCCCATGCAGCAAACGATATGGCCGTACGTCTCTCATGCTTTGATATGAGTACACAATAAAATCAAGCGGTCCTATTTTTTGCAAGTCAACTACTCTGTTACTCGGCTAATTGCACCAAAGTACAGTTAAGTGAATTCTTTGCTCAACAAAATTAGCGGTGCAAAGCAAACCCTCAGTTTGCAGCGTCACGGCCGTTCTCAGCCCTTCGTAGCCAAAGACTACATTTTTAAGCTGTTTCAAATAAGGCTCGATTCACAGTTTTTTTCGGAAATGCAAAATTCCTTCTAGAGGGTAGACGACATTATGAAAATCTTTCCTCACGAACTTTCCATGAATGAACACGAAGGCACGCAGAAAATACTACCGCTCAAATTTGAGATCAGAAAATTCTTCTCTTAGTCAGGTTACATTAACAAATATACGCTATTCACTTATCGCTGTCCATACTGTAACCTCGTTGACTGATCGCTAGACGGTCTGTGACAAACTTTCGTGACTCCGTACCAGCGGAAGAGAAAATATTAAAAAGTACTTTGTCCTGCAGTACTTCATCTGTCTCACTTTGGAATAAATAAACAAGTACCACTTGAAGAGAATGAGGCGGGAAACTGAAAGCTGTGCTAGCTAGCTTTCATACATAATAAAGAATACATTGGTGATGGCATCGATACGACGACTCATCTCTAGTGTAAGTACAGTGCAAGAAAAGGATTCGAAATGTCGCATACAGTGGAAGTTAAAGGATGCTGTGGCATTCCAGACTTACCTCATGCTCTGTCTCACTTCGATTTTGGATGTCATCCGTTACAACGGCCGTTAGTCAAGCCCCGCACATATAAATACAAAGCACACCTACGAGAAATTCGCCCAAATTTACACGCTACACTATCATAAGCTTGAAGTAATAATTCAGATCAAACATTGCCGTAAATTTGTAATTACCTTTTTTGGCTGCGCAGAGAAATCGAGTTCAAACACCGGATTGTCGTTGTGCCCCACAATCACAAAATAATACTCTTTGCCAATCATCTTACCCTTTGAAATTCGACGAAGGTCATTTGAACGGAATTACCCTAAAATTCTTCGTTTCATTCACTACATTTCAAGAACAATATAGGCAAACGGTCTTGACACCTCCTGTTTCATTTCGCACTAAATTATAACATACAAGTTGATGTTCTAGTTTCTGAAATTTAATCTCAAGTTCTGACCCAGTTCCACAGTTTATCTATACGAAAATTTATCAACATGGCGATTCATTTCATCATAATGTTTAAACTCAAAAAATAATAATAACTAAATATCTTATCTACTTATATTTACCTTACAAGCAACATTTTATAAACCTGTTTACTTTACTCCTATGCAAAAACCTTCTGATCCTTTTCTTCAGGTTGGATTAATCTTCCATCGACAACTTAACAGTATCTACGAATGATTTACAGGTAATATTAAGTAGTTCAGGGAGCAAAAAAACCCCATTACAAACTTTTTTAACGCAAATTTATTTTAATTTTGACAAGGAAAGCAGTAGTAGAAAAGAAAGTTCATAACCTTGGAACATCAGTCTTTCTCACACTCACATGATAAATCTAATTCTATAATACCATGAGCCGTTCCCTAATTAAATGGTCCCCTTAGATGTCTAGCAGCAAAGGAGCGGTGTAACAGTGCTGCTGGAGTGAAGTGAGAAATAGATTTTCTTTCTTTACACTGCGCATTTTTGTTGTTTCAATCCGGCATCAGAATTTTTCATGTGATATCTTCAATGGTGGCACCGATAGGACCCAAAGAACAGTGTATTATATTTTGTCAAAGTTTATTCTAACACCACTGTTTTCATGAAGTTAACTGTGAGCGCGCTGATGTTCATTTCCATCGCTGTGTGATAACACTGTCGTCTAAATGGTCTGCTTTGAAATCCGGAGGTGCAGAGTTTTGTTCCTGCTCGAGATCAGACTTTGATTTATTCACTAGTTTGCGAGTGATTTAAGCAAGAAATTTACTGCATATTGATTTAGACACTCGTTGCTAGATCGGTAGAGCGTCAAACTCAGAAATGATAGGTCCGAAATTCAAGCTGCGGTTGAGGTAACTTGTTCTTATTCATTTTGAGGTTGAAAAATGAATACAACTCTGTGGGAATGAAATAGGAGACTGCACGTTACACTTGAAACATGGCTTTAAACTCTGCGTTTGAACATGAGGTACTCTTGTTTCTTGGCATAGAGACGGAGGCATTGCACAGGCAACTTTATTAAACGGGCGTCAAAATCAATGTCGAAAATGAGAAACATTGAAACGGTGATACACTTTCCTTTCCGTTTACATGTTATCAGCCAGGAGTACTCTACTTCTAAGGAAATGGTCGACTAGCTGTGACAAGCAAAATCAGTATTCTCCTGTTTTCTTCCCACTCATTTATCAAAGTAATAATGATTTATAGACCTCGCAAGGAACAAAAACGAGAGATCTCACCTGGGTTCAAACCTGAAGTCTACCTTGCAGAGCCCGAGGC